ATTTTCGGAGTGGATATCTTTCAATCTGCCATTTTGTTTGAAATTTGAAGTTTACTGTATATATTAGAATTATGTCTTATTAATCTCTCATTTCTGACATTATATTTTGAAACGTGGAGTTTATAACTTGCAGTTCTCTTTGTTTTTCTCAAATCCTAAGCGTGCATATCTCAAAGTCTGTCTTTTTTTCTTTTTTTCTAAAATTCTTAGGTTCAAACCATGAGCACCAAAACAAACATCAATGCGATTTTCAAAGTACATTTTTGCAGAAGAAAATTATTGTATATACTGCAGGTATAAAATGTGATAAGAGAGTGAGCGCACAGTGAACAAATTTAGATATTTGGGAGAAGTGCCATGCCTTGCAGCACCACCTCCAGCTCACCCTTCGGGTTATAGTCACACTAATTTGCCTTTATAACAGAAGCTGCCTGTTTGTCACTAAAGAAACAAGGTTTTGGCACTGAAAAGACGGCATCTTTAATTCTAAGCCGCCTTTTATTGAGTTTGGACTTTGTGTTGGACACTAATAAACAGGATTCAGCAGTGGCCAGCGCTTTGCGTTAATCCCTGCCTGTTCTCTCCTATCTTGCCAGTAATGGCTTTTCTTTTGTAACTGCCTTCAAGGCGTGAATAATGGCAGTGCATAGTGGTGGAAAATGAGGAGGAAAATTCGGAATTGTCGGCTGCGTATAAATGCCTGTTTGTAGGAGTCGCCAGGAAAACAATGAGGGTGATTATGGAACTCATGAAAGTGTTTTAACATTATTAGAGCGAATGAAAGAGTCGCCTCACCTGAGAGGACAATGTGTGTGTGTGTGTGTGTGTGTGTGTGTTTTTGCTCTTTGTATTAAGCACTTTAATAAAAGCCTTATTTAGATGGTAACCATAAAAGGAAGCCTGCTTTGAGAGGGTACGCAAATAATTTTGGAGAACTGATTCAGTCACAACCAATAAATTAGGTATGAATAGAGTTTATTCTGTTATGTGGCCTTTTGATAGTGATGGCTATCTAGTGAATCTGCTGCATATTGTCTACTGTTGCTATGGAGACTGCTTTTGAATTTCTCTTTGTATAAGGTTTGCACTGTCATATCAAGACCTAAGCCCAAAACAGATGATGAAATAAAACGTACAGAGATCATTATGATTTTTTTTTTTTTTTTTTTTACGTGAGACCAATTTTAAACAAAATGAATGTTGGGAGTATTATTATTATTATTATTATTATTATTATTATTATTATTATTATTATTATTGTTATTATTATTATTATTATTTTATTATTATTATTTTTATATACTTTCATAAATGCCCTTATTGTACTGAACAAATTATTTTATAAGCATTTAAAATTATTGTGATTTGAGCATTTGATGTAAAAAAATATGTACAATTTTAAAATGTAAAAATATATATTTATATTATATTATATTATATTATATTATATTATATTATATTATATTATATTATATTATATTATATTAATATGACCATATAGAAACTTACTTAAATAAAAAGTCTATTCAAGTATAATACGAGAAATCTTCCTTACCAAGACATTATTCTAAGGATTTCTCAATGCGCCAAGGGCCCAAATTTTGTCTTTCTGTTTTTTTTAGCACAAATCTTGTTCATAACTCATATTTTTTGCTATTGACGTCTACATCAAGTTGATTTGATCATCCGCAGAACAATGTTATACCCGACACATACCTACAAATGCAAAACTGACAAATCAATGCTATGGGCGCTGATCTGACAAATGGTGACAAAGTGCTGCTCACAAATCATCTTTCAGACTTCCAAGCTGAACCACGAATATACAGAAGTGATACAATTTCAGATTTACTTAGAGGAGACAGAGATTTCTGTCTGCATCTTGTTCTTTGAAAGTAAAAGAGATTTTATTTGCAGGGGAAAGAATGACGGATCATTCCAATACCTTTAAAGAGCCTCATTTGCATAGTTCATAATTTGCTTATATAACATCTAATTAAAAGTGTATCAAACTATTCGAAGTTGCTGAAATGGGATCTAAACAACAGGTTGAAGGAATAGTTTAGCCAAAGTTTTTATATTTCACTCAGGTGGTTTCAGACCTGGATTTATCTTTTTTGCTATTATGCTCATTTGTACTACATGTAAAATAAGAGAGTTAGTTTGTGAGGTTCAAAATACCACACAAATATTTTTTTATAACTCTGAAATTGTTCCTTGTAGGCTTTGCTCCAATATTGTGCTGTTTTGGTGACTTTGGCTTTAAATGCAACTGAGATTGTGTTCCCAGCCCTCTTTTCAAAAGAATATGGCGCTATAAATCCCTATGTGTGACCATAGTGGCTGATTCAAACATGTAAGGCTGTGTTCAAACCAGACACGAAAAACGCGGATAAACCACACTATTCGTATGTAACGCGTGAACAATTTGAGTTTACTCGCTTCATTCGTGCATCAAATTCGGTTCATTCACATTCACTTCACAATAGGCACAGATTTGCATCATGGGCCCGATGACTACCTTCATTGCTAAATGGCTAACATGGGTTTTATTGAGATAATAGCTGTGCTCTATGTGGTTTAGGAAGACTGAAAAACAGCGCAGATTCATTCGGGGTCGTGTCTGAGTCCACTAGATCCAGATTTCAGAGGAGCAGCCAGCTCTGTGAGTTCATCAACTCCTCCAGAAACTATAACTGGATGATGAACCTATGTGATGAACAGTTGTCCAGTGTTGGCAGAAGGATTTCCCCTCGGGACATTAACAACATTATGTCATAATCCCGCCCCTACAAGAGCAAACTCCTGATTGGTTAATGTGACGTGTATGTCTGCTGTTCAGATATTCCAACTCGAGCATCAAATGTGTAAAATGCTAAATTTTTTGGTGCTTCATTCACATGAATTGCGTCATTTGCACCACCTCATTTGCACGAACAGCGACGCAGGATGTCTATGCGTGTCTTTGCATTGACTTAACATGTAAATCACATGCGCTTGACGCTTCATCAACATCTGGTATGGACGCAGCATAATGGCAGATGGCTACTTCTCATAGAGCTTTCTATGATAATGAGGGAAAATCTAATGTCACTATGGGCGGGGCTTTCCCTTTCCGATGACATGTACAAAGGAAGACTATTAAGTGTTTCTGGAGACTGTATTTATGAAGTGTGATTATAAAAACTATAATTAACTAATTGTTACAAATAGTAGCTGGCTATATTTACACTCTTTTTCCACACAACTGTGTTTAAACCCCTTATAACCGTGATTTTTGTATAACTGTCCCCCTTTGGTACAAATAAAGATATTTTGAGGATTAGTGAACAAAAAATTGTGGAAGTCAGTGGCCACTGGTTTTCTTCAAAAACATTCTACATTCTAACAGAAAAACTAAACTTAAAGAGGTTTATGAAAAGTGAGTCAGCAAGTGATGACAGAGTTGTTAATTTTTTATAATGAAAAGAATAGAATGCAGGTGAATAGGGTAGATTAAAACTGATATTTATCGCCTTACTTCCCCAGCTGATTTAAAAAATCAAGAGCTGCGAACATTCATATCACACATTTTCTATAATGTTATATTTAAATATGCAAATTAGGCCTCTTTCATGAAATACATGCTAATTTGCACATATTTCTAGCACTAAAATCTGAATCCTGAATTAAGTCAAGTGGAAGAGTTCACATGCATAAACCTTTAAAGGCTGATTTACACTTCTGCATTTATACAACACATAGCACTAGCTCTGTGATTGGTCGGCTTGATAGCTGAGCCGAGTGTGGGCGGTGCTGAGAGCTGTGTGTCAGATGGAGCGAGTGTTTACAAGTTTCAAGTCCAATGAAGGAGCTCCAGATGTTTTGTATTTACCTTATGATTAAAGTTGATGGACGTCTGCCAGTTCACGCCTCTGAATGAGTGTGTTTTAGCTACCCTGTAAAAGATTATACTGTATGATCTGTTAAACTAAGCTATTCATGTTCTCACTTAATTTTATAAATTACACGAGCTGTTCTGAGTCAGTTTAACATAATATAAGTTTAATAGACTTATAAGGTTAATTTGATTCAGCTTAAAAATTTAAGGCTACCAGGATTTTTTTTTTACAGTGTACTTGTGCATTAGAGTAGTATTCAGATAAAACAAAACATCCGAAAAGAAACTCTATACAGAGAAATATAACACAACCTATTGCCAGCTAGTGTTTCAGAAGTGTTATTGCAGAGCAACACAAACAGCTGGCAGAAGTATAAATGCATGGCTATGAGTAATGCATACGCTGTGGGTCATGGCGATTGCTAGATGCAGAAGTGTAAACCAGCCTTAAGTTTCATCTGATTTTTTGCTTTTAAAATTGGCATTTTTTCCAGGCTCTATATGTTTAAGTTCAGTTATTTCACTTTAAAGACAACTAAAATAAGCGTATATTTGCCATAAATCTCAAAGTACTAAACCTACAAATATGAAATTTTTTTTTCATTTTTAAAGAAAATACTTTGAAGCTTTTGCATCTAAACTCTTCAAATCTACATATTTTTGACATTATAAGAGTCATTGGTTACACAGAGAATTTGGGGAATTTTCAGTTATTGGTTGAATGAAATGTTGAATATAATCAGATAGTAGTATAATCAGAGATGTAGAAACCGCTGTGTAAAAATCATCAAAATATACATATGATCAAAACTGTGAAGTCTGGTGTATGAAAGAGCAGCTGAAGCAGAGATTTAAGGCTCAGTGCTAGAGAAAAAAACTCATTTTAAGAAAAAGGCCTTTAAAAACATGTATCGTAATTGAAATCTGCAGACACAAATTGATAAAGTGCACCAAAAGGAACACTTAAAAGGGTACTTTGGTTGTTTCCGTTACATCAGACCAAAAAAAAAAGAAGCCAAAAAGCACAAAATCTCAAAACAGACAGGTGCATGGAAATGTTTTCGCCTGCAGTATTTTGCGTTAATCAAATAAATCTTGCGCCTTGTGTTTTGTGTGACAGGCACCATTTCCGTCAACTCGATTCGCACTCCCTACAACGCTCCTGGTGAGAGTGAGATACTGGACCTGGACGATAAACTGTACCTGGGCGGCCTGCCAGAGGACCGGGCCGGTCTGATCTTCCCCACGGAGGTGTGGACCGCTCTCCTAAATTACGGCTATGTGGGCTGTGTGCGGGATCTGTTCATGGATGGCCAGAGCAAGGACATTCGGCGGATAGCAGAGGCTCAGAGAGCGGTCGGGGTGAAGCCGTCTTGCTCTAAAGAACCCCCCAAACAGTGTCTGAGCAACCCCTGTCTGAACAGCGGCACCTGCAGAGAGGGCTGGAACCGCTATGTGTGCGACTGCTCCGGGACGGGATATCTGGGACGCTCCTGTGAGAGAGGTGAGACACTGAGTTTTGGCATGTAGAGTTCGCTGTTGTGTCACTTTATCATCTTTCGTGATAAATTGGACTGTCAGCAGATTTGATGTAAGCTGTTTCTGATTTGTCACTTTGGGTAGTCAGTGAAATCTCATTGGTTTAATATACAGCTTTGGAAAATAGTGGCACACAAAAATATTGTAACATATTTGAGCATCTGACACGCTTACAATGGATACATTTATTGTTTTAGGCTAAATTGTTTTAAAACTTCTATTAATGCCTGTAGTTAGTAATTAATTTGTGTTATGTAATTCACAACAAATAATTAATTATTAATAAGTAATAAATACTTGTTGCCAATGGACAAAAATGTGTTTAGAAGCATAAAAACGATATAAATAAAAAATTTTCCCAAATAATAATCACCATCATTCATTTATACTATGATTTACCAAAGACAAACACTGAAACAAAATCATTAAATATAATAATAGCTACAAGCCAAAAATATTAATCTGATGTATTTAGAATTAGAATCATTTGATAAAATATGAACCTATTTTCAAGATCACTGTTAGGGCCGTTAATTATTTATACTTTGCTAATACCACTAGTCAGCAAAAAGTTTGAATAAATTATAATATAATAAAATAAAGTATGATGCCTCATTAGTTTATAGAATTTTAATTGTCAGAACAGGCTCATTAAAATCCTGACTTTAATTTTAAATAAACACATTCAACAGAATAATAATGGAACACTGGAAAAAAGCTTTTATTCATCCAATAAAAACAAATGTAGGGTAACTGTTCACATTTAAATTTTAATCACTTGACCCAAGGAAAAATAAATCATTTGCCTTAAACAATATTTTCTATCCCCATGAGAACAATTTTAGGTAACACTTTTTGAGTATTAGTAGACTGTCTGCTTAATATCTGTTGATACTGCTCCTTCAACAGACATTTAACTGACTATAAGAAACTTTTCAAGTACATGTCAACTTACACTAACCCTAACCCCAACCTAACAGTATACGTATAAATAAGAATTAGTTGGCATGTAGATGCAATGTAACTTAAATTCAACAAATGTGACCCAATGTTGTATAACCTGTTACAAAGCATATTTGTTTTGTTGAAGATAGTCAACTAATTTAAATTCAAACTTTTTAAACAAGAAGATATGGCTTTAAACAAAATAAAAATTACCATAAAATGATTATTCATCTAAGAAAAAAGGGTAATGGTTTCACATCTAAATTTGATCACTTGAGTGAAAAATAATTTCCCTTAAACAATATTTTTTTAAGTCTACAAAAGTACAAAGCATATTGAGCTTCTGTTTAATATGCATGCACAGGTCTGTGGGAATAACTTTACAATTTTACATTGGTCAAAATAAAGATTTCTTAGTTGAGCTCCTAATCAGAAACATTTATATTTATATTGAATTTAAAATATATTAGTTGAAAAATAAAACAGATAACATTAAACTGAAACGAAATATACATTTTTTATTGAATTGAATGTTTTTTTTTTCTTAAACATTATTTTATCCATATTTTGAAAGGTTTTAAAAACTTCATTAAAAAAATCGAATTAGACTCCTGCATTTTGAATAAAACTATCATCTCAATCATTTGCACAATTTATATGATTGTTTTTGAATAATGACCTTACTTAAATGCAGTAATTGTTTGATATCTGATATTTTAATCTAAGATATTTACATTGTTTTAAGATTACAGATATGGCCACTGAGAATGTGCATTTCTTCATGCGCTACTGCAATTTGTCATGCGCATTGCTGTAAGAAAGGCTGCCTATTCATTAAAAAAAAAAAAAAAACAATTACGGAATATCCACTAGATGGTGCGAGGAACAACCGCTTTGCCATTGCCGGGCCAGTGCGAGCGAACGTCCCCAAATCAAACAACCTGCCCAGGACTGCGTTTCCAAAAAACATCATTAGCCAACTAAGGTGCCATGCTATAAAATACACAATTTATCACTTAGGCCTATGAAAATATTATTTAAAAACTGTGCTGAAAGAAAAAAGCACAAGAAAGAATGCCGCTTTAAAACAGAAACTTTTTTATCAACGTACTTTTTTTTTAGACATTTATTTCCGCTTTTTTACTTACAAAAATTTTATGTCCGTATGTTAACGGAGTGCTTGCTTTGGGCGGTTAGTGTTTTAGGCAAATGAGTGGAGCGCATGACCATGGAGCGGAATGCTTACCAGAGCGTCACACCTCTCATCTCCGCTCACATGCTCTGGCTGCTACAGTATGTCAGTTCATAACATGTTACCTAACTGCCCCCTGCTGGTCATGCCTTTCTTGTGTCAGACCATTTTGTGCTGTGCCCCGCAGTACTGCAGCACTGCAGCACTGCATGTGGTCATGTTCATTTACTTGCGCATTCTCAGTAGCCACATCTGTAAATATATATATTTTAGATAGAACACATCACGTGTGTTTCTTATTTTTTTGCTTTTTGCTCTTCACACTGAGAATCAAAGTAATAGGGCGAGGTGATGAAGCACCAGAGCTTCTGTGAACGTTTTGTACACTCTTTTCTTTCTGCTATGACGTGTAAAGACGTGGCGCTCATTCAGAGATATTTAGTCTATTATGTTGCGTAGGGAAAGGTGACATTCAGCGCTTTGTTGCCTCAGCCTCAGCAAAGAAAAAAGTCTCGCTCTTTGTCAGCTCATCCTTGACAGAAAGTGACGTTACTGTTACTGTGGTAATTGTGTTTCTCCTCAGTCCATGTCATCTTCAGAGAGAACCACTCAAGCACGGATTATGTTTTTGTCTTTTGTCTCCCTCTCTCTCAGAATTTACATTCGGTAGTTTTTCCAGTTGAACAAAAAAGGCTAGCACTCAAAAAAAACAAACAAAATAAAAATAAATAAGGTCATCAGTAGTGTAACTTAATATAAGGATGATGACACATTTCAACATTTGACTTAATTTAGGTAAATGAAACCCAAGAGCCAAATTTATTTTGAACCAACAATATCAAATGTCTTAAAGTTGAATTATCTTGGGAATTTATCTTGTACAGTTTGCTCTTGTTTAGATGATTTGGGTATATGCCGAGCTAGTGTTGTTCCCATACTGATAAACTTCCGGTGACCTGTAATTGTGAATTTTTTTTCCATTATATACGGTATATATATATTTTTTTACTCGCACTCACCCTTCAGAATCGGCAGACTAGCACAGAAGCTCGATTGAATATACTGGGGTAAAATAAATGCTCATATTATAAAGACACGGTGGGGAAAATGTAATTTAATGCAGTGCTTCTTGTACAATCTGAGACCCACTTTATATCGGATATCACTTAGCCAGTAGAGATCGCTGATTTTTAAATAAAACAGACCTTAAACGTGCTGAATTTTTGCATTGGCATACAGTTCACCGGAAGTGCTTGACCCAGGTTACTGGCAAATTAAAAGTCCAATTAGGATGCTTCGGCATATACCCTATATACTCTTAATCAACACATTTGAACAACTGCACTGTAAAAAAATGATTACTAACTTTACTTAAAAAAGGAGGAGACATGTTGCTTTAAAAGCAACAAGTTGACTTTACTTAAAAAGTTAAGTAAATCTGTTGTAGCATGGAAATTTTAAGTTGATTTAAAGTACAAATCAAAACGAATAATATGACTTTGTTAGCTCACATTGCAAATTGTGTGCTGAATAAATCCTCTGTGCATGGCATTAAGAAAAAAAAAAACTTTGCCCTAGTGATCTAAAATTAAAATCTGGTTAAATTCTCAGATTCTGTCTGTCTGAGGTATTCTAAAAGCATAAACTGAGCTCTTCTAAAACCCTTTTCCTGATCTTTCTGAATAAAATACCTACTTAACTACATCCAATCAGCTTGCAGTAGAAAAACAGACCACTATTTTTTCATTTAATATTCCGTTTCTCTAGGAACTGTCACAATACACACACACACACACAAACAAACACACACACACTCACACACACACACACACACACACACACACACACACACACACACACACACACACACACACACACACACACACACACAAAATAACAGTTGCAGCTTCTGGTTCATGTGGACTAACTTAATTCTTATAATTATGCACATTGTTTATTTACTTTATAAAAGTAAGGCAATAGGTTTACTTCAAGTAAAGTCAATTAATTGTTTTAAAAGCAACATGTTTACTCGCTTATTTTAAGTAAAGTCAACTAATGTATATATATAGATCAGCTAATGTATATATACAGATCAGCCACTTTTGACGCTCATAAACAATCATAAAGTCCTCATGCTGCAGGAATTAGGAGGTTTTCTGACGGTGCAGCTGTTGTGCAGTAAGGGGTTTGCGTCTTTAATAAACTACGACAGTTTGCGGTCACTGAACAGTAAGAATGATTAATAAATCCATATCAAACAGTCCCTTAAAGGTCACATCTTGCTTTCAGTTTTGGACTCACACACAAGCAAACCACGCCAAAGCCCAAGTGAACCGAACCTGATTCAGAGCACTCACACTTCTCAAACGATCCGGGAAACAGGCCTGGGCACAGTTTGTATAGCATAGTGTGAGTAGGCCCTAATACTGGCATTAATCTACAGCACTATTCCACTACTGGTGTGAATTACAGGAGGTTTGGACTCATCAATTAATGTTTAGTAAATCAAAGACCACAACAAGATGTGTGAGGAAATTGGCCCTTTACATAGTGAGAAAAAGTTTTCTCTGACCTGCATCTTAAATCTAAAATATGAATAATTAAAATAATATACCATAAATATAGCATTGTGTATGCATGATCGCGCCTCGCAGTCAATGTGGGAAAATATTTAGTCAGCAGTCTGAAAACGGCAGATCTAGAGCACTGATAGATGCAGTACATGTTCACAAGACACTTTTCTCATAAAAAAGCTGTTTGTTTCTACATAGTCTACAAGAAAAAGTAAAACTAGATACTTAGTTTGTATTTTAATAGACACCTAC